AGTGGATGTAAACTACATAGCAACATTACTTTTCTGCACCGTGGGTACACATATATAGAGCATTTTGAGGTAAAGACCGTAATTATGTCCTCTCTGAGGTTTCTCTCTGCATATAGTTGGTTAACCAAAATTACGCAAATGGAGAAATTATTAATTTCGTAAAAATATATATTATGTAAAATTATATATACATATATTCAATGTTTCTAAATATATATGCGTATCGTTCAAAATAAAATAGTCCAACCGAGCCCACGAAATGCAGCACAAATTGCAGGAAATATCATCAAATAAAAAATCGCACTAATTAAAATTCCGGTATTAACGGAGAGAAAGATTTTTTTCTCCCTTTATCCTAACTGATTGAATTCCATGAGATCTCAATATGATCTCAATTTTCACAAATGCGTAGTAGGTATTTAAATCGCATGTCTCTCAATCGTAAACCGGCGCATGCGCCCGCATAACCTGCGATGTAGCAGCAAGTCCGTGACGTGAGGTCGAAAATGTTTCGTTCTATTACACGTGAGTTATATCACCGTGAATTATGCCGATTGCCGTTAAATGAACGTCACGATGCTCGATCCTGACGCACCGTTCAGGCATAACGCGTATTTTAATCCCACGTCGGGTGAGATGCCGCCGTGCATCTGGACCGCGGACGATCGATGTTGTCCCGGAGCAAATTTCGCACTTCTTGCGTACTTTCCGTTTTGATGCCGCGCTATTGCATAAGATTGCATTCTGACATACGTCACGCTCGACGTGCGTCTACTTGCTCGCACCAGCTGTACCAGTTCCCATTCCGAAACGTTCGACCGATTAAAAATAATAAACGCTGTCATAACCTCTCAAACGCAACCTGGCTATTGATATTTATTATCATTCGTAATGACTTGTTTATATCTTTCTTCTTTTTTGTAGATAACGTCCCTCAGGGACTGGTGTCCCTGGCGCGTAATAATGTAGCGGCGTCGGGACCCGCTGCTGCTGCTGCTACATTGAAGGTTCAGACTAAACACATGGCCAAGCAGGCCACGGAGTCGTCCGTGCAGGAGGCGAAGGCGCCGCTGCCGGAGAAACAGAAGGTCGAGCCGTACAGCCCGTTCCAACAGCCCAGTAACATGGCAGAGTACGCCCTGGCCCGAATGGACGACATACTCAACTGGGGACGCAAAGGATCGCTGTGGCCGATGACCTTCGGTTTAGCCTGCTGCGCCGTGGAGATGATGCACATCGCCGCGCCTAGATACGACATGGACAGATTCGGCGTGGTGTTCCGCGCCTCGCCCCGACAGTCGGATGTCATCATCGTCGCCGGCACTTTAACGAATAAGATGGCACCTGCCTTGAGGAAGATCTACGATCAGATGCCTGAGCCCCGATGGGTCATCTCCATGGGAAGCTGCGCGAACGGAGGCGGATATTATCATTATAGCTATTCTGTGGTCAGAGGTTGCGACAGGATAATACCTGTGGACATTTACGTGCCTGGTAAATTTGCAATTATTTGTATTTTTTTATTTTATGTATACA